TGGCGGCGGTAATTCTTCCCACGAATGCATCCACAACATTACTCCCCTCTTGGACTACGAGCTTGTCCTCAAGCTCGAATTCAGGATGGGTGTCGGGAAACACCGTCAAAGGAATCCCGGATAGGTGGAATGACTTTGCCCTCCTGGACCGGGTTCCAATGAAGAGGGTTCATCCTCATCTTCCTCTTGTTTCACCGAGAGGCAGAAAAGTTTCTTGCACTTGTGCCCTGCTGAGTAGAGTTCATCGCAATTAAAACATTGCCCCCTCGCCCTGCGTTCTACCATCTCAACCCTGGGCAAGTGCTTAATAGGGGGTGTAACGACGCCGCTCCCCACACTGGATGCTGATCTGGAATTGGTGCTCGTCTGTGGCTTCCGTTCTTGGCTGGCTGCTGAATATGGAGCCATTCCGAGTGATTCCGGGGATGCCCATGCTGATGGAGGTTGCCCCATACTGAAGGTTCCGTGGCCGAGTTGTAGTTTGCGTTCGAAGGCGCGTGCTAGGTTCATGGCTGTGACCAGGTTGGGAGGGTGTTGCATCTCCACGAGCCCCACGGTGAACATATCGACTTGCTGATATGCGCGAATTGAGGTTGCTCTGGCGAGAAGGGTTTGGAACTGGCGTTGGTATTCTGCCACGGTTCCAGTTTGCTTGAGGTTGATTAACTCGCCCAGCGGGTTGCTTGTCAACGGTGGTCCAAACCTGAGGAAACAATATGATTTAAATTGTCCCCAACTGAGCCCGGGTTCTTCTTGCTCCAGTCGGTAGAACCAGAGTTGCGCCTCTTCTGATAGGTGGAAGGCGGCCAGACTGACCTTATCTTTGTCATCAGTGCGCTGATTACGGAAGAACTGTTCACAGTGATACAGCCATCCTAACGGGTCTCCAGTGCCATTGTAAGATGGGAATTCCAGCCAGCCATACTTGGGAATAACTGCGGCTGTCGGGGCAGCGGTCTGCTGTTCGCTAGACGTCTCTGCCCAGTCCGGACGACGACTGTTTGTGGTGGCGGTTCCCTCAAAACTTCTTTCCTTGTTGGAGAGGAATGCTTCCAGCAGGCGTCACAGCTCCCAGACATCATCCTTGACTTCACGAACCTCCATGCTGGTTTCTGCGAGCCTATGTTCCAGTTCGTGGACCCTGGAAGACAGCAGCTCCTGTTCCCCCATGACAGTAGGCTCTGATACCAGAATGTTATGGGCCCGGGCGTAGGATCTCGTCACAGGTCGGTCCACGGGGAGAACCTCTTGCTCCCCCTTGCGCCTTCCCTTGCGTGCAAACCCTATTGTGGAAAACCGAATGGGTGATTTGTCCAAGAGACCACCCGAACTCTCCTCACCCTTCTCTTGACTGGAAACTGAATACTTTATTCCCAAATCACAGCTCCTTAAATAGGAGATTACAAGAGGAGACTCCTTACTCCATTCGACTAAGCTAGGACAATCCAASTWWRAAYMRAACTCCTACTTCTAACAGACTTCTAACAGAACTCAGTTCCTATCTCTAATAGATAAGTAAGAACAGAACTGGAATAAGTAAACTATTGGCGAGCTGGCAAGAAGAGCTGACGTGGCAAGATAAGCTGCTGTGTGGGCCCCCCCTCACTGCTGCTGCCGGCGGCGGTAATTCTTCCCACGAATGCATCCACAACATTATCTGTCTTAGCTAAGAAATCTGCCAAAGAATTTGCAGATCTAGAGGGCCATATAAATGAGCTGTTCAGATTGTAACTTAGAGCCTGCACTTGTCTAGGAGAGTCCATGCAACACCACTGCCATTATAATACATGGGGCTGCCTTTGGAGGACAGGATCTGTTTACAAATCAATCTGAGAACCAAATGTAAAAGAAGATCCACTTTTTGGAACATTGGATAGAGCCATTACCCAATGCTGGCCCTGGTTATCTGGGTCTTGGGAGGGATGGACTAGGTATGGACCTAAGCTTTAGCAATTTTTTGCACAAAGTGGCAGCTCACAAACTGAAACCTGTTTTTCTCACACTTAGCCCAAGGTTTTACCATTGCTTGCTTGGCCTCTTACTGGAAGGTCGTATGCTAACCAAATCATTTTGTTTTTGATCAGCAACACAGAAATGATTTCATTAATTAGAAAAAAAAAAGAATAAAAACTATGGATACAACAAGAAGTTGTGAAAGAAACCAGCTTCAATAAGCTGACCCAAATCAAATTTACAAATGAGCCCAAAACATGTGTTCTTTGAACCCCTTGCTTAGCTAAGCTATCTGCCAAGCTATTGGAAGATCTCCTCACCCATCTCACACATTCACACGGATTGACATGTCCCTTGACAGCCATTTAACTAACCAAATCATAAATTCACTTTTGATAAAGGATGCTTCAGCAGACATGACCACTCAACTCCTTTCTCTATTCAGAATCCTGGTGGTGGTAGAAACAAATAATAAATTTGAAAATCATCCAAGAGATTTCCTTTAGCACAATTAACAAGATGAATCAAAGTTCCACTTCATCAGTTTATGTTACATGGACACTTTAAAATAGGTGCTTTACCCATATTGAACACAAATGAACAGCAATAATGACATGGCACTTGAGGATTCTTCTTTCTGTAACATTTATAATATGTGACTAAAGAACCTCAAAGTTGAATGGTAAATTTGAACATAAAAGATATTTTTATATTTCTTTTTCATTAGTTACCTCATCATTTAAAGAGCATAAAATATATCATCAAAAAAAGTAAGCATAGGAGAAAAGTCCCCAGATATTATTTTTTTCAGGATTGCTGAGCGCTGTATCCATGTCAGATTCCAAAGCTTCAATCAGTTTCCAAGTAATATAGGTCATCAATTAAGAGAAGGCTTGCTTCCCAAAAAAAAGCTGGAATGCTGGACAACTGGGCTTAGAAGGCTTGAGACAAGTCAATATCCCTTTGCCAAGTAAATGGTGGTGGCAAGTCAGTCAAGGAATGGATAATTCATAGTAAAAGGTTATCACAATAAAGTATGGAAGTTGACATTTGGGATGGGAGTTTGGTGAAGATAGGACCTTTATGGGTGTGCAATACAAGTTGAGAGGTGGGGATAAAATCAGCTTTGGGGCTGATACATGATGCAGAAAGCCAGAAATATCTTCTCAAGGTCAATTTTCCAGCTCCATATGATATTATTGTTCATAGAGAATAGGTGGTGATTTAGGATTGCTATAAAATGGGCCCCATGAGTAGTTCAGCAGGGGAGGTTCTGAAAGAATATCAATGGTCACAATTAAGCATTGGCGCTAAGGCTTCACAAAAAAGTGCACCATACCCAGTTCAAGCTGATTCAAGAATCTGGCAGTGGGATCTGCCACTACCAGATACTTGAGAAACCTCACAACACTGTAAGACACTTCAGAAAGCAGAAGACTCATCAAAATATTCATATTTCAAGAGTTTTTTCTAGGTTGGTTTGGTTGGGGGAGGTCTACTGGAGCTTCATTTGGAGGTGTTTTGAAGGTTTAGAGTTTGGTTTTGATTGTTTCTTTCTTTTTCTCCTTTTGGGTGATTTCTTATCACCTTCCTTGCCTCTTTTTCTTTTAATAAATTTTATTTCACTTAAAACAAAAAACAAAAAAAATCTGGCAGTGGGATTCAGGATTCATCTGAAACTGTTCACAGTGTACACACTTTCTCTTGATGTCCCCTCAAAAGGCTCAAAGTCAAAGATGAATTACAGTGTCAACAGAAACATTGGGAGACTACCTAAGGCCAAGCTGTTGGCTAGAGGTATGGCATAACAAAAACCAGATAAGATGATCGCCACTTTGTCATCCACTGCAAATTCAGGACCCTCTGAGCCAATTTTATCCTTGTGTGTGTGATTAGATTTTAAAAGGCAGCTAAACAAAACTTTCTAAAGCTGGCAGAAAAAGAAGGTTAAAGCAAAGAGGAAATGTTGAGGAAAGGAAAATCAAACCCATTCCTTCCTCTCTAGATCTATACAGGCCTTCTAGTTGCTGTCATAATGGGCCAATAATTAGATTTTGACAAATCTGATGTATTCAGAAAACTCCTCAAGCTAAATAAATGTGAGTTAAGGCCATTCCAGAAAGCCCAAGAACTTGACTGCCAACGCATGTAGACCCCATATGATATGCAAAAGATTCATTCTCAATGCAAATCTTCTCAAGATTATTTTAGACAACTCTTTTCAAGATTTGGTTGGATCCTCAAGATTTGCTGAATCTTTGAAGGAATCAGAATCTAGCAAGCATTTCCCTTATAAGATAATATAAAATATGCACTTGGCACCATTTGACAGTTCCCTTGCATAGTGACATTCATAGATGGGTTTCATGTGTGTATTTAAGATTTAAATACTTAAAACAGTGATGGTTCATCCTTCCAAAAAGGGAAAGAATAGATAGACTGGTGAAGAATAATTACTTTAAAGTTGAACCAGCTCCTGTCGAATTATCTATTCTAGCAATATAGTCCTGGGGCAAAAAAAAGTTGCATTAATTTCTTGGAAACCACTGATAAAAACTTCAGAATGACTGATGGTCAAAGAGCTCCATACAGCAGTACTAGCCAAAGCATTTTGCTCATCCCAATGGTCATTGACATGATTTTCTACTTTAAACTCCTTAAAGCTGCCCGTCATAAACACTGTATCTCCATTTACCTGAAAAAGCATAGTTCTAAGTTAAGAGTAGAAAACAAGAAATGGCATTTATAACTCCTGGAGAATTTCCCCCTTTGTGGAAAGACAATAGGAATGATGGCAACAAACATTTAGAAAGGTCCACATAGCTCTCAGAAGTACTTATCCCTGCATTCCGTTGGCAAAGAGAATAAAGATGGAAACATACTTACTTCATTTAACTTTTCCCAAACCAAATCAGGCTGATTTATGTAACCTTGGTCAGTGGCTAAGAGATATAGTTCACCATGAAACTGCAAACAGAATCAAGAATTTACAATTAGCCTGCAAGTTATGCTGACAAAATATGTACTATACTAGATTTACCTTTCAAAAATTCAACAGCTACAAGAATGATCTGTACTTGGTAGACAAGAGACAACAAAAATAAATTGAAACTACAAGAAAACCCTCCAAAAAGAAGGGAAACAATATGGCATAACTGACCTTGAACATAGTGCTGAAGTGATTATTACGGAAAAAAACACAAAGCTCACGTTCCTTCAGACCTTCCTGTAGGCAAAATAGGCTGCAAAAGAAATTAAATAAAAATAAAAGGGAGAAACTAATAATAGGCTGTAAAGCAGAACATAAAGGCTTCAGTTCTGTTCGTAGAGAGAGAGAGAGAGCAGAACAAAGAGGCCTCAGGTTTATGGAATGAACTTCCAAAAAATACAAAATCAAAATACCCGTATATGGTCAGCTGGCTCGCATTGGTTTTTAAGAAGTTCCTAATCAGTTCCCCTGAAGATATTTAAATAGAAAGTTATTTATATACACGAATGCCAAACAATTAAAAGATTGATCATGATGTGTTAAGTGATTTAACCTTTCTGTTGAGTAATTTCATCCTTGGGACTTAAGTCATCTTGTCCGCCTTTGTCAGCTTGCTCAGCAAGAACCACCTCACCTTCATACATAGGCTCTCGGTTTTCATAAATTTTTAGACCCGAATCTAGTATGCATTCCTCTCCTTCATATATGGGCTCACTGCCATCAAGGCTTGAGGTGGCACCCTTTGTTATATTATCCTTACGCTGGCTTCCACCACTAGAAACATCAAAATCTGCATTTGGTGCAGATGGGCAAGATGGCACTGCTGTTTCACAACCACTTTGATCATCTGCTGGTTCACAGTGAACTTCAGATGTGGCAGTAACTTGCATACATGTTTGTTGAATTTGTTGCTCCTCTCCACCAGTAAGCATATGATCTTTGGATGCAGAGGAAGGATCCATGTCAATAGAACAAGTAAGTTCACTTTGATTCTGGACAATCACCTCATCTCTTATGTTCTCCATTATTTCAGCAGAAGCAAAATGCCTTGTCAGTTCTTTATTATTAGTTAACTGATCAAGGTTAATTCTGTCACTAAAAGATGAATGACCAGATCCTCTTGAAATAATTTCAGAGGATATCAAATCAGTGTTACAACCACTGGAAGCATTCAAATTCTGTGATATAGATGGTTCTAGCTGATGGTGGACTTGAGGATCATCACAATTACACCCAACATGCATATCTGCAAGGGCTTCTGATGTGTTACTCTTCATATGTTCACTTCCATCTGAATTTACAGGCCTATTGCTCCCATTGGCATGGGGTGATGGACACTCGCCAACTGAAGTTGCCGATTCAGCTTCTGACAATTTCAATACTCTCAACAGTTCTGCTTCCTCCTCCATGTCTCCCTTCCTTGCTTTCTGATGCCCTGAGATGGAATGTGGAGAATCATCAAAAGATTTACACCTTGAAATGCATGGTGATGGAACTCCCAAAGTTGCAGTAGTTGCAGCAGCAAAATCAATACAATCTTCTTCAGGGCTGCTCTTATGTTCTTCACTCGTATTTCTTGTTTCAAGGGCAACAAGCTCCCCCATAAGAGTGTTGTATGACTTGGACCCAATTGCATTGAAAGTATCATAATCCTATAATGTTCCACAAGAAACAATTAGCTTTGGCTGAAAATTTATCATTGATATCAAACCAATTGGCTGGTTAATAGATTCAAATTTTGGCAAAACAGGTGATGCACAGAGAGACCTTTAGGGGAGCTGTTTCCCCAACCATATATGCTGAATGTTAATAGAGATGCTTCTGTAGCTGAATCTATTAACAAAGGCAATGTGGTTTGATTGCCCAATCTCCATAGAAGTCATCAGCATTGGGAGCTAGACAGTATGCTGAATTTGTTTTAGATCTTGCCAAATCAGATGGTGAGGGTTGAGCAGGAGGATGAATGGGAGTGGACTGGAAATAGGAGGGTGATGGGGTATTCACTGTTAAGTCCATTGTAAGACATCTGAGAGCCCCTCAAATTACTTACTTCCCCAGTATTTTAATTTGGAAATCTCTTGTGCCAACAAAAAATGGGTTCCCACCATGGCCTACAACTCCAGGGAGGTGTTTAACCAAAGAAAACCTGCTAAGAAGGGGGATTCTGCTGGAGGATCATTCATATGTGATGTGCAATCAGGACAGAGAAAGTGCTGATCATCTCTTCATTCATTGCAGGCTGGCAAGGGGTTTATGGATTCACCTTATAAGGGCTGCAAGCTTGAGTTCAATATCTCCTAAAGTCCCTAAAAGAACTTTTATTAGCCTAGCAATTCAGGGACTGAGCAAGAGGGGCAAGGTTGTATCAGAGTTGGTGCCTGCAGCAATCTCATGGACCTTGTGGACAGAAATAAGAGAATCTTCAATAACAGATGTTGAGCTGAGATGAGCTTATCAATGTATCTATTGGTAGATTGGGTTTTTGGGTTTCCGCCTTTAAAGAGTTTTCCGGTCAACCCATATTTCAGCCAATTAGCCAAACCAATTGGCAGAAGTACCTTGTACCAAACACAATTTTTTCAGGCTCAAGTTTTTCAGCTATTACATTCACCCCTTATAGTGAAAAGCTTTCCACATTGTCTTTTAATGTAAATGATGTGGAAAACAAAGCTCTGACCATAAAAGGGGCAAAAATAATAGTTGAAATATTTTTCCAAAACTTTTTTCATCCCTTATGCATTAGAACAAATGGAATCAAAAGAGAAAAAAAAAAATCAATAGGTTTACATGTGGTTATCAGCACTACTTCATGGATCAGGCCTTCTAATCACCATTTCTCAACCCAAGCTGTTAGTTTTCTTCTCTATTTCTATTCAAACTAATGTGTGTATGACATATTTACAGCCTACACTCTACAAAGTCATAAATGTTCTGATAGGTAGCCTTCAAGACCATAAATGTGCTACCAAAGAAAATTCCAAAATCCAAGAAAAAATCAGACCACTAAAGGGTTCCACAATTTGAGAATTCAACCATGTACCTGACAAAGATACAAGTTTCCTATGGTTACAAGAAAAGCTCTTATAAAATTTATTAACCAACACAAGTCTCTCCTTCACCTAAAAAAAACATTTAAGGAATGACAGTTACTCTGAAAGAGATGCTACTTAAACATTGTTTTACTTTACCAGCTACACCCACAGAACAGCCCTAACCTAGCCATGCAACTCATGTGATGATGTGAATACTCAACTTAGTTAATTGTAGAACCCAACTGACCAAGAAAAGGTTTACCTGTAGTAGCATGCTATAGTGGTCAGAGAGAGAGAGAGAGAGAGAGATCTTCAAATGGTGATAAACCTATTAAAAGTTATTAGATTTTGAGAACCGTGTTGTCTAGACGAAATTTTACCTATTTTCTTATGGGGGCTGGGACTGAACCTGGGATGCAAAACATCCCAACATCTGAAAAGCCACAATCATGTTGCATTTTTTTGTTTTAAGAATATAAGATTAAGAACCAAGGGTCTAAAATCCAGTTTCGGTATAAATTTTGGTCGTTGTGTGAGTACAAATTGGTGGAAGTGTATGGAAGCACAAAAAAACATCACAATTATGAAAAGTATAGAAACATTAATGATGGAAATATATGATGTGGCTTTAGAAAGTGATAGAATAAGCATTAATATATACTCAGAACTCTGGTCAATAAACATACTTGGGAATCATTATAGTATTATACAATCAAAAGGTCCAAAAAACCATTTAAAATAGAGGCAGAGACCACAGAAAGACTGCAAGAGATGCATATTATTGCACATAAACAAATGGCTCATATCCATGAGCCCATAACTAACATAAAGTAATCAATCATCTATTGCCGAAACACAGTAAATACATTGGTTTATGCATATTTCAGGTTCTCTAACATTTGCAATTTCTGTTTCAATTTTCTGGTTTTCTTATGTTTTGGAGAGAAGCCGTCCCTTTTTATTGTTAAAGATACCCCGTCTCTCACATTTTTTATAGTCGTAGATCATAATTGAAATGGTTTCATGTTTTGACCAGAGTTATGCATTTTTTCTGCAAAAGATGTATGGTCTGATTGCATTGATCAAAACCTACTAAAGTGTGACTGGTACTTATCAAAGTTTAAGCAAAACTTCAGCCAAGATGTTCAAATGCCACAGAAGCAAGAGTACTTTGGTTGAATTAATTTATTTCATTGAAGTTGGAAACCATGTAGAGAAGTTCAGCATGTAAAGCTAATCAATTTAATTTATTCTACAAACATTACAAAGCAAAAGAAAAAATACAGGAGGATGATAAAGTAGCCCAGTTAATAAGTGAAACAAGAGAAGTTATAGCATAAGAATGAAGGTCTTTCAAAGCATACCTGTGGATCCACAATCCAACCATGATATAATGGAATGTCAAGAAGATCAAATATGGCACACTCTGGTGTGAACTCAAAATCATCAATTCTGTAAAGAAAATAAAATAAAATAAAAGTGGCATGCATTTATGTCAAAATAAGGCCAAAAGAAGAAGAAGGTGGAATCAATGAAAAAATAACGATAAAAAAAGGACAAATATAATGAAATGGAAGACCTACCTCCTGAATTGAATATTAACGTCAATTCCAGTAGCAAGCCGTGGAAGCAGATCAATTGCGTCAGATATGTTTTTTCGCTGATTTTCAACGTATCCAGCATCCTTGTTCTGCGTCATAAGTCAATATTAATAACTCTAACTGATACAATCCGATGCAAATCAACAGTACCCCTTGGATGCAGAAGTAGGCACTTACTTCCACATTGCTGTTAGAATCAATTAATCTTTCAGCAACAAGTGAAAGCAATTTCTGCAGTGAGACTTCAGATGCATCTATGCTCAAATTCAAGTTGTTTCTCAGAAGAAGAACATTACCTATTAAACAGGAATCATTCCCCATTAAAATAAAACACGAATTCAACCAAAAAAAAAAGGATTAACTAAGTCGATAAAACACAATTTCCGTAAAAATCATATAATCCAGATTCCAGATAAAATAAAATCATAACAATAACGCTTATCTCTGAAAATGAAGTCAAATCGAGAAACCAACAAAAAAAGAAAACACTATCAGCTCGACCATTCATTCAATCCTACGTGCCTGAACTTATAATTCGATTCCTGGTGTAGAAGGCTATGCAGGTTTCCGAAACAAAAGATCGAGAATCGACAGAAATGAATACAATAAACGAAAACCCTAGGGATCAGCTAGAAACGCGAAAAAAAAGAAGGAAAGCGGAAAAAAGACTTTACAGATAGCGAGGAGAGGGCAAGGGCCATTATCATTCTGAAGGATTATTGGTGTAGTGCGTCCCAAGAACTGTACGGCCTTCGTCTTGTAAAGGCATTCTTGCTCTGGTTCCTTCCTTCGCTCCTCGCTGGCCATGGCTACAGCCTACAGACCTCACAGCTGTGCTTTTACTTGCTCCAATTAGACGAGGCGAGAGAGAGAAAGTAGGAGAGGAGAGCAGGTGAGAGAAGTGGAATTTAAAGACAAAGGCACGAACCGATGCACATACCGAGTCGGGAGTTGGATGGAAACGATGGCGCTTATTATTATTGTAGGTCTTCTTCTTTGTTTAAGGCGCGATTAAAGCTACGTGGGTTGTGGAGATATCACCGTCAACCGGACCTGACAGTAAATATGCTAAATAAAACCCCCACTGTGTCAGACGAAATGGGACCCAGCTCTGGGACCTTGATCAGTTAATCTCAACCGTCTACTTCACTGTCTCTATATGGTGAAGAAATAAGAGATCCATGAAGGTTCCAAAAAAATCCAAGGATTAGATGCCAACTTTTTAGGCCGGGCCCATCGTGGTCCCTAATTTCCTTCTTTTGTTAGGACACCTCAACGCCAATCGTCTCAAATCGAGTAAGATTCTACTACCAATATCAGCCTCCCAACATTATCCCAAATAACCATTCTCCTTGTCATTCATGCGAGATCTTCCCAATGTACGGCTATAGTGTGGTTGGGAAATATTGGGAACTTCCTGTTGATAGCAGATCTAAATTCTCTCAAATCCTAGCCACATTTGATGATCGTCAGAAGTCAATCTCTCTTTTACAATAAAGGCCAAAATTTATGCTTCCGTTTTTTCCCTTTTATGAATGTTTCCGCGTAACCTTGGAAAACCGCAGCTCGTGGACGTTTTGATAACAGCTGAAATGGCTGAATCGAATGCTTGTGGTTTTGTCTGATTAGGCTGCGTTTTTCCTTTGTATTTTTTTGTTTTTTTATTTTTTTGAGCAGAATAAAGTGTTAACCGACTCTAAGAACCGGTTTTGGTGGAAACAATCTTAGATTAGGGGTGAGCAAAAAAAATCGAAAAACTGAATCAATTGAAATCGAATTCAAAATTTGGTTAATTAAATTGGTTGGTTCGGTTTTGGTTCAGTATTTAAAAAAAAATTGAAAATATCGATTCGATTCGATTTTGATTAACCAAAACAAAAAATTGGCGGTTAATTAAATTGATCAGTATATATATACTTATATATATTATATATTTTTTATATTTTTATACATTATAAATTAATAAATATGCATTATATATATTTATAATATATAATATATTATTTATTATTTAAAATATGATATTATATATTTTTAGTATTTTATTATATATTTATATATTTTCTATAATAAATATTGAAAATAATAAAAAAAACTAAAAACCTACAAGTCAAATCGGCGATCAACTAGTTAACCAATCAATTTTAATTACTGGCTTTCCAAAAATCAATAACCCTAATTCAATTTCAAAAATTAGCCCACATTACAATTAAATAAACCATGAGCACCACTAGGTTAGACCCGAATTTGCCTTGACATAAATCTCAAAAATTCATAGTCTCACCTGACCATAGAGTCGCTTAAATTTATAAGGGTAAATTTATTAAACTATCTTTAGAATACCTTTACCGTTAATTTTTCATCACATATAACATATTAGGTGATTGATATATTTTACAAAAATTACTAAAATACTTTTTCATCTAAATCCACTCCATCTCCATGCCCGTCTAATCTCCCCCACGCCATGAATTTTGAGAAAAGAGAAACATCATCGGAGTTGCAGATGAAGTTTGCTGCCATCATTGCCGGAGCTACTTTCTCAATCGACGGAAACACCGCCATGAGTTTTGACCAAAGGAAAACATCGTTGGAGTTGCATATCAAGTTTGTCGTGTCGTCGTCGGAGCTGCTTTCTCAATCGACGGAACACCGCCATGAATTTTGAGCATAGGGAAACATAGCTGGAGTTGTAGGTCAAGTTTGCTGCCGTCTAATCACTTTCGTCATTCCTCCAAACTACCTCCTCCATCAATTTTGAGCAAAGGGAAACGCCACGCATCCCTTTGACATCCTTTGTCTTCTCTTTCTCATTGTATAACTTCCAACGGAGTAGTAGGTCAGTAGGTGATTTTGTTGCCATTTCCACCAACCATCTTCTCTATTCCTAATCGTCTTTTTCTACATCTGATTCGCCATTTAAAAAAAAAGAAAGAAAGAAAGAAAGAGAACTTTATTTCATTATAAATAATTTAGTACGAGATAGAGGATTGGAACCGACAACAGCTTCGCTTTTACAAACTGATGCCCAGTTTCTTTTGAATAACACCTAGGCGATGCATGTTCTCTTGCTGTGTTCCTGGATCTTGAACCCACTATCATCGGTCAGGTATGCCGTCACCTCCAAACCCTCCCTCCCCCACCTCGCTTTGCCTACCCCATCCCTGGTTCAGTCGGTGACGGTGTAATGCTCAAGCGCACCCTCTAAGCTCTCTACCATCCTTTCAACCGCTACGTCATTCATCTAGACCTCAAATCCTCTGCCCAGGAACGTCTTCTCCTCTGTCAGCAATGTGTGGATGATTACCAAGGTTAATCTCGTCACTTACAAGGGCCCTACCATGGTGGCCAACACTCTACACGCCATTGCCATCTTGTCGAAGCAAGGAGGCGACTGAGATTGGTTCATCAATCTCAGTGGCTCTGATTACCACTCGTTACTCATGAGAACAAACCGTCATCGATCAAGTTGCACGGGACTCCAAGGTTTTCTCGTTTTCCATGCTATTGGTGATGGGACTGGCTCGGGTCTGGGCTCCCTGCTGCTTGAAGGACTCAGTTGATTATGGCAAGAAATCCAAGCTCGGCTTCACGATGTTCCTATCCCCTCAGTTTCGATCTCTGTTGTCAAACCCTGCTACTGCACCCACCATGAGATGATGAAGAACCGGTCGCTTCTCATCACTTGTCACTCAGACCAGTTTGCTCCGTTCCGGAACAATCTCAAGGCCTAATTTTTGTAGTTTTAGAGTTCTCTAAAGCGGAAATAGAGAGAAAATACAGAGTAATAATATGGAGGGTAAGGAAGAAGCTGTTCCACCATCATGGTTGCGCCGATGGTACACACTCCCTCCCTTTCTCCATCTTTAATCTCTCTCTCCCTTTTTCCTTTTTTATTTTGAAATTTTGAAAGTAAATAATGGGTAAAATATTCATTTTCATCTCTCTCCATCAATATGTAAACAGTTGTGAGAAAATTTAAGGATACTCTAAGATAATACTCAATTAGCTGAACCATTTTTCAAATCAAGTTTTTAAAGAATATGGCACATTTTTGTGTGGGAAGGGCGTAAAGAAAAATCAAGTTTTACAAGTAGACCTAGGAATTAATAAGGCTATAATCGACCCTTGAACCAATCTTGATAGGGTAAGTTCTGGTTCCAAAAACTTGGAACAAACCCCTATAGGGTAGGTTCTAAGTTCTGCATTGTAATTGAACTAACCATGTTTACCCGGTTACCCCTGTTATTTGCATCCCCTTCAACCTTATTAAATCTGGGGTGCTTCAAAATAGCTAAATCAGCCCTCCCAAACAATCTCTTGGTTGCTTTGAAGTGTTTCGGATAAGCAATTTAAAGAGATTGAAGCATATTCCTTTCGAAGGACTAATTGGTAGCAAATTTGGGCTTTTCATCAAAGATAGCTTATAGGTGGTGCGTGTGAGGCCCAACTTAGACAGCCAAAATCTACAAGCACCAAAAGAAGCTTATGTGAATCGCAAAAATTGTTTTTTTAAGGATAAAAAAATTGGGTTATCTATTTATTTTAACCAATTATTGTTTATAGACTATCTAGGGTGGCAATTCCCGTCCCCGTCAAGTACTTGGCCTCCCTAACCTAGTTGGAACAAGGATGGAGAGTGAAGTCTTCGTCCCACCCCAACCCTAATTATATATATGTTAAAGTTTTCTTTATTTTAATTGAATCTATTTCAATAAAATATTTTAATAAAAAACCAGGGATTTAGGTCCCATGGGGAACCTATCTCCAGCAGGAATCGGGGATGGAGATCAATTTTTTACCCCCAATGAAGATGGGGATCAAGGACAGGGACCTAATAAAATCCGAGCAGGGGATGGAGAGTATGGTCCCTGCCCTGCCCTGATCCTGCCTTGTTGCCATTCCTAACATTGTTCGATGGAGGCCCATCGGAAATACAGTTTTCATCTTACTCCTTTTGGTTTTTCAAGGTAGGTCTCATTTGAAAAAATATATATATGTCAATGATGCTTGGTTGAAAGAAGATAACCAAATGGGTTATTTAAATAAAAAAGACATATCTAGACGCATAAGTAAAGCAATTAAAAAATTCTTAAGTAGGATTCATATTTTCTTTTAACCATCTAAACTAAACTTCAACCCAAAGTTAAGAATGTTGAGAAGCATAGGATCTCCAAGTTGATGAAGTGTCTATGTTTAATATAAAGTAGGCTTGAGCCAATGGCTTAGTGGCTAAGATGGCCACTCCAGGCATAGGATCAAACCCACATGATTGTAAACTCTTCGTGGCAAAGTCAGTGGATCTCACATGCATCGTGCACCGTCCCCACTCCTGGAGCTCATTAACGATCTCAAGAAAGCCTAATGGGTACCTAACCCCTTGATTTGAAGGCTGCTCCCTCTCCTATTCCAACCTCATACTACTTTATTTATTTTATTCTCAAAAGTTATGATATTTGGATCTAAGAGATGGGAAAAGCAAAGATTCAAGGGTATCAAGTCTGGCAAGGTATTTTAAATACTATATTAACTCAAGGTTGTGCTTGGTTTGATAGAAAATAAGAGGGAAACAAAAGTTGAGGGAAATCTCTTTGGTTCAGTTTGAAAAGAGTATAAATGCAAATATATATAATATAAATACATACAAAATAATATAAAATACAAGGTTTTGCACTCTATATATTTATATTTGTACTTTTTTCAAATTGAGCCTCAAATACAAATGTGTACAGTACAAATACATATAAAATAATACAAAATATAAGGTTTTGCACTCTACATATTTGTATTTGTACTCTTTCCAAACCGAGCCTTAATTTGTGATTCAAATGTATAAAATTGGGCAAGTAGACCTATTCATGGGCCAGGTAGCCCAATGGTCCGACCCGTTCTAAGTTGGGCTTGGACATGAATTTACGCATGTCGCTCAGGCTCAGGGCCAAAACACCAGGCCCAACTTTTTTGGGCCATATCCAAGCTTTCTCAAAAAA